AGTAGTCATCAGTTGTGCAGTGACACCCTTTGACACAGACATGTCCCTGGTGTATAGCTTCCTGTAGGTCCCCAGCCTCAACACCCCACACACAGACATCAGCTCCTGGTCCATTCCTCCCTACAAGCCTGCGTGTTGCTCAGGCTGAGACTAAATGGCCTCATTTTGTTTACTTTGACTTGCCAGAGGCTGGTCAAGCAAATATTGATCGGTGATGATAAATAGTTTTCCTCCGCTAGCCTATCAACTTTAGAAACAAGGATAACTTGGTCCTGAAACTTGTCTGACATGACATGTTGCCAGCTTTGACAGTCGGAGTGTGATGGGCAGATGGTATAAGGGAGCTGAAGTTAGAAGTGTATTTTCTGACACAAAATTTGATAAATGGCTGGATGGGAGGGGAAAGAGTAGTTTGGAGATGAACATACTAGTCTTGTTTTATTTTGAATTGTTGGTTTTTATATCTACGCTTACAAACTTGTAAGCATTATCACAAACTTTTGGCACTAAATTATTAAATTTTCGATTCTGTGAGAAACTGTTCTAGGCATCTGCATAGATCTGTTCAAGGCATCTGCATAGATCTGTTCAAGGCATCTGCGTATATCTGTTCTAGGCATCTGCGTATATATTATCTGTCAACAGACATTTCCATGAAGCAGCAATGTATGGAAGGACCAGCTATGGTGTATTTCATTATGAAAGAGATGAGAATACAGATTGCGTTTTTGTTGTAGGTATTTGGGGACAGTTAAATGCTGTGATGCAGGGTGTTTGGAAGTTCCCGCCTCATTTTTTAATCTAGAGCCCCCTAAATGTTTAACACTGAACTTTAGTTTATGAAAAGGAACCCACAGCTTCCAGGCTTAATTCTGGACACTGATGAGTACAATCTTGTGAAAAAGAGAAACTTGCCACTGACATTGAAGTTGAATAAATTTGATGCCTCATCCTTTAGGTAGAAAAGCACAATTCAAATGTCATTTACCATGAACAAGCCCAGACAATATAACCCACTGGCCTTGGGGAAAGTACATGGATGACAAGACTCGGGTTGACTCGTCGGGGTCTTGTTATATTCAGGGAGGACTTGTGGACTTTTACCATAAGGCAGTTGGCAAGTCTGCAGCAAATCATTATTCTCTAACCCTGAAGATGGACCAATGGCCAGCAAGGTCGCTGTCAGATTTGGACCGGCATAATTAAAATTGAATTTGAACCACCACAGATACTGAATGTGTTTTGTAGCGTGAACACAACTCAGGTTGTAGTGAGCTCAAGAGGAGGGGTAAATACTTCAAGTATAAGAAATGTATTGAATTTGAGTGTATTTGGGAAAACAACGTCATAATATCTGCGACATTACAGTGATGACAAAGAGGTCCTTTTTTCAGAGTTCCTATGGGTCATGGAATCCAGAGAAAAATCATGGAATTTAACCTGAGTTTCCCACGAGTGTAAAACAGAAAAGTCATTGAAAAATCATGAAAAAATATTTTTAGACTAATGTTTTTTTCTCGTGATAAATCAGTGATAAGCAAATTAATACCTCGACCAAAGAGAAAGCGAAAGTTTAAATCAACTGAATAAAGTTGATTTTGTTGCTTATATATCATAGAAAGCTGGCATAATACTCAAGGAAAATTCATAGAAATGTGCCAGGCTAATCGAATATGAACCCTGTTGGTTTAGGTGCTCCCTGGAGTCAAACAAATCTCAAGGGCCCCAAGACCCACCTCAATTGACCCGTGAAGATTTCGGGGTAGAATTGGTCTTCAGCAACCCATGCTTGCCGTAAAAGGTGACTCTGCTTGTCGTAAAAGGCGACTAACGGGATCGTGTGGTCAGGCTCGCTGACTTGGTTAATGCATGTCATCGATCCCAATTGCATGGATCGATGCTGGTGATATTAATCACTGGATTGTCTGGTCCAGCCTCTATTATTTACAGACCGCCGTCATATAGCTGGAATATTGCTGAGTGCGGCGTTAAACAACAAACCAACAACACCAACCAACAACACCCACCTCAATTTCTAACCCTACATAATCTTGCCTTGTCATCACCATGACCATTGTGACAGAGGTGACCTTCAGGGGTCATTGCAGAGTGCTGGCTCTCTGAACCCAAGAAGCCTTGGATAAATCCATGCATCCAACATAAAGCATGAGATCTTCCATGCATGAGACTCCGAGCCAGGCTGTGCTTGCCGCAGTTGGCTTCCACATACCGGCGACCGGCCATTGATTCCTGGTCGTCATCCAGCTGTTTTCTCCCATCATGTTAAATTCTGTTATTGTTTCTGTGACGTCATGGCCTATGATCTGTCTCAGCAGCTGTCTGGTATATTCTATATATACCGGTAGGTTACCTTGGCCAGACATATGTATCTTCTATTTCACATTTCAATCAATAGGCCAAGATGTCAATATTGTTCCTTTGATAAACATCTGAGATTGTCACTGTCTGATTATTAATTGATAAAAGAAACACTTTAATTATGTGATCAATAGTATCTGCAGGAAAATTTCAAATGAACATTTTTACACATAGGCATTTATTATCCAATAACATTATCAAACTTTAAGCTAGCAAGAACAAAGACATGGCTCCTATGTTTTATTGTGTCGAAAGAAGCAACTTACTGGATCGGGTGGTCAGACTCGCTGACTTGGTTAATGCATGTCATTGTTTCCCATTTGTGTAGAGACCCGTGAAGATCTGGGTTAGAATAGGTAATCAGCAACCCATGCTTGTCGTAAGAGGCGACTAATGGGATCGGGTGGTCAGGCTCGCTGACTTGGTTGATGCATGTCATCGATCCCAATTGCGTGGATCAATGCTCATGATATCAATCAATGGATTGTCTGGTCCAGACATGATTATTAACAGACCGTCATATAGAGGAAATGTGTCTTAATTATTTAACTGTTTGTAAATCTTTATAATTAGGTCTGAGAGAAAAAAGCAATAGGCCAAGAGCTGAAGTCAGAAACTAATGACCTTTACCCTGACCTTGACAGAATGAATCTATTTCCAGCTAAGCACTAGTTGTTTAATTATCCTGAACCTTGTCATTAATAACGATTGTTCCTCGTGTGACAATGCCTCCTAAACTGTGTGCTTCTTGTCCAGGAATGTTTCATGTTTTGCTTCATGTATTATTGATCAGGAATTCACCAAGCCTTCCGTAATTGGTGCTGATTATTACCGTTTACCATACAGAACTATTGATCACCAGTTCCTTCCGTCAACCTGTCGTGGGTAGATCATTATGCTGCCATTGAAAATTATGATGCCGGCTTGAAGCTGTGATTATTAGATTCATCCAACGGTTATTGATTTTGTAGGTTTTGTCAGAGAACATGCATCATTACGAAGTGTATACTGAGAGACATGCTCCATTTGCCATGTATACTAAGAGATTTGTAAAGATTTCTCATCTCATAATACTCATAATCGCAGAAAGTTGGTGAAAATAAGTACATGTAGTCTGAAACCTCTGCCTCAGCTCTTCCACCACGTAGCTCTGTCCTGTTTCACATCAGGTTAATTTTGATGCGACTAGATTTTGATTGCTTGTTTGTTGTTGATGCCACACTCAGCATTATTTCAGTTATTTGAATGCGGTCTGTAAATAATTGAGTCTGGACCAGACAATCCAGTGATTGGCATCATTCGCATCAATCCACGCAAATGGGATAGGATGACATGCATCAACCAAGTCAGCAAGTTTGACCACCGATCCCGTTATTCGCCTCTTACAACAACCATAGTTGCCTTCAACAGCAAGCATGAGTTTTCTAATCTTCACGGGTTAAATATGTTTGTGAGGCAATTTAGTTATGCTGGCTAGGCACCAGGGTTCATTTGCACAAAGCAATCTTTGCGCTAAGATGATCGTAACTCCCTTACTTTAACATGGGCTTACAATAGTCGTCACGCCAAGATCGCTTTGTGCAAGTGGGCCCGGATTTTATGGTTTATGGTAAGGCTACTGTGTCAAGCTCAGCAGTGGTGAAGGAACTCTGATGTGTCTGCTGACACGAAACTAACCTGCAGACAGTTTTATTACAAAACAAGATTCTTCTATATAGACACATCTTTGAACAGAATTCTTATTCAAATTGCACTGGAGTAATATTGTATCAGGCCCAATTCCTTATTGTGATTTTTGCACTTAACTGTTGAAAGTCAGTGATAAACTACGAGAACTTAGGTCATCAGCACTAATATCACTTCCCGTTCTTTGTCCACCAAACAACCAGCCTTTTGATGGTAAGGGCAGCCCCCAATAGGGGTCAGAGGTCACATAATTCCTTGTGCAGAGTTACACCCCTTTGTTGGGACAAACATCTGAAAATTACAGGTTCGAATCCCAAATTTAACCTGATCATGATTCTAGGTTTTCAGCACCATACTTGTGCTGGTGGGTTTCACCAACGTGGTGCAAGTCAAGGATCTCCAGCATCATGCTGACACGCCCTGACCTAACAGAAATACTGGTCAATGAATTGCTGCATTAATTTAAGAAGTAAAGCATTTGTGTCACAACAGATTTCAGACCTGATGTTTCTCCAGCCTGACTGCTTGCTGCCGAGTCCCATCGATGCCCATTTGATTGATATTTAGGAGGGGACACGGGTGCCCCAGTCGTCTAAGGTACTGCGATTCTCTGTGCAGAGTTGCGTCCCTTGGGCATGCCAGAAACCTATGATTGTGGGTTCGAATCCCGGTTGGCCCCGATTATGTTTCTAGGTTTGCCAGCACTATACCCGTGCTCGTAGGTTTCACCGAAGTGGTAAACATCTAAGACCTGCATCAGTTCGGGCTTTCCTCCCACATTAAGTTGACTAGCTGTGATATAACTGGAATACTGTTAAAAGCGGCGTTAAACCCAACTCACTTACTGTACAGGCCAGTGCTCAGGTAAAATGTCAACTGATTCATTCGTCACACGTCTTATTGGTAGTTACAACATTGTTCTTTTTCTTTCACAGATTGGTGCTTCAACAGGAAAACTGAAACATTTTGTCATCGAACCGTTTGTAGCTCATCAACAGGTAAATACAATCTCCCCATGCTCAGGTTTAGATAGTGACTTCCCAGCAACTATTTATGTATGTGATAAAAACATTACATATTGTCAATAAAAATGACAGCTTGTTCATTGTTTCTGAGGGGGCATGGGTGGCCCAGTTGTCTAAGGTAACACCATTTGCTGTGCAGAGTTGCATCCCTTTGGCATATAAGAAACCTATGGTCGTGGGTTTGAATCATTGAGTTCTAGATTTGTCAGCACCATACCTGTGCTGAAGGGTTTCTTTCACTAAAGGGGGCGGTCGGGTAGCCTAGTGGTTAAAGCGTTCGCTCGTCACGCCGAAGACCCGGGTTCGATTCCCGACATTGGTACAATGTGTGAAGCCCATATCTGGTCTCCCCCGCCGTGATATTGCGAAAATATTGCTAAAAGTGGCGTAAAACCATACTCACTCACTCACTCTTTCACTAAAGTGGTAAACATTATCATCTAAGACCTGCATCACTCCAGGCTTTCCCCCCTCATCAAGCTGACTCGCCGTGATATAACTGGAATATTGATAAAAAAAGCATTAACCAAACTCACTTATTATTTCTACGTACTGAACATGATATGACATAACGTCTGATTTTATTTAGCTACTTGAGAAATAGAACTGACGCGAACATCTTGCTGGACTGTACTTTGTTTGTTTCTGTCTTTCTTGGTGTAGGATTTGGGTTTCAGTGTTATGGCCGAGTTTGACAGTCACTTTAACATGTCTTTGTCCGAAAGAAACCCTTTCCAGTTGCATACCTTGGCGGATTAATTTGTACTGATAATTGTTGGTTTGACACTATTGTTTCTGTCCTTAATTATGTGTAAAACATTAACTTGTAATCGAATGAGGATGAGTGACTACTTTAGAGAGATATCAGAATTCAAACTTGGTGCCTTTGGCAGCCAAATTGGGGGGAAAACGTTACATTCAAAATTGGATATTTTTAATGTTATTTTCATAAATACTGAGGAAAGGTAATAAATTCCCTCTGAGCAGGGTCCTGTTTTACAAAACAATTGTACCGTTACGACTGTCGTAAGTCTATGTTAAACTATGGGAGTTACGATAGTCGTAGCCTTACGATAGCTTTGTAAAACGGGAGCCTTGTCTAGATAAATCCCTGGATATCACATTCATCACAAAGGGCAACTCCTCCATCTGCCTTAGCAGCGATAGAAATTAGCACTGGTTCTGTCGACCTTGCCAAACTGCCCAATAGTTAAGGTATCATAAGGACTATTAGAAATTTGCCATTTTTAAGGGTTTTGCTGTATGTTATCATATTAAAGACAGGTGGACTAAAAATGTTAGTCTCTACAGTTGGTCTTAGGACCAAATACTTGAGTTCCACAGACAGCGTGTCAGTGCAAGGAGTTAACGTAACAGCACTTTCCACTCTCCACTCAATGCCCATGAAACCACTGCCCAGTCATCAGTGTAACTCCCATTGTACATGCAGCTCAAGCAGCGTTGACGTGGAGGTTTGGAGTACAATATTGGATGTAATTGTACTACGCATGACCCAAATGAAGAACACCCATTGTATCGTATTAGCTGTGATCTAATTTGAGAAATTTGATATTGATTTCCCAACAACTTCTTTCTTGTGTATGTGATAAAAACGTTTGATATTATTCAATAAAATGACAGATGTTCATTGTTTCTACATAATGGATAGCATATGCTACAACTTCTAAATTCTTATAAGAGTTACTTGGAGACTATGAACTGTTGTGAACATGTATTTGAACTGTTGTGAACATGTATTTGAACTGTTGTGAACATGTATTTGAACTGTAATTTATGTTTGTTTGTGTTTCAGAATGAAGAATTCTATGTTTGTATATTCTCTCACCGATACGCTGACTCCATTCTCTTCCACCACGAGGGAGGAATTGACATCGGTGATGTGGATGCGAAGGTACAATCCCTGAAATGGTCGACAACTCTCATTACTCTATAGATTACATAGACTTATTGCTATCATAGCTCAACAAACACGTAGTGGATCTTGGCATTATTAGCTAACCTTCCCAGAGATTACCTTGAAGGTTTCTGGGAGAGTTAGCATGTTGCCTGAATTGTGATCACCCAGATCCCATTGTGACCATCCAATTCCCATTGTGACAATCAGTTCCCATGTGACCACCCAGATCCAATTTTGACCACCCAGATCCCATTGTGACCATCCAATTCCCTTTGTGACCACCCAGATCCAATTGTGACAATCAGTACCCATGTGACCACCCAGATCCTATGGTGAAAATCAGTTCCCATTGTGATGGCCCAGTTCCCATTGTGACCATCCAGATCCTACTGTGACCACACAGATCCCATTGTGACCACCCAGATCCCACTGTGACCATCCAGATCCCATTGTGACCACACAGATCCCATTGTGACAATCAGTTCCCAATGTGACCAAACAGTTCCCATTTATGGTGTCATGAATCCCTTCTCATGGTTGTAACTATGTGGTATGCTTGTTCCAGCCTTATTTATTGCAATGATAAATCTGAAATATTGCAGCGTAAAACAACATTCAGTCACTCCTGTTTCTGTGTCTTACTCTTAGGCTGTCAAGCTGGAAGTACCTGTCGGGAGTGACCCCACCGCAGACAGCATCAAGTCACAACTGCTTTCCAAGGCCCCAGCTGGTGCACAGGGGTATGTAATTGGGAGCCCATGTCGGAATTAACCCCTTGTAAGGCTAGAACTCCCTCCACATTGTTTACTGCCTCCGTGGTCTAGTGGTAGAGCGTCTCCCCGGAGAGTGGAAGGTCAGGGGTTTCATCCCAGACCTCACCATAACATCAAAAGTTGTTAAAAGATGGTACTTGTTGTTATCCTGCCTGGCACTCTAAAAACAAGGTGCAATAATCTTGGATGCGACGTTTAACTCTATTTCACCTCTTTACTTTCCACATTGCGATCTTGGCGCTAAGACAATTGTAATTGCAGTAATTGAACATAGACTTGGGACAATCCTAGAGCTAAGGTCAATTTGTTGAACAGGGCCCTTGCTTGTTAATGCATGTTTGATGTGTGTGCCTTTTTTTAATAAAACCATGTCGGTAGGGAATGTTCACGTGGTCAGGCCGGAGTGAATGTTCATGTGGTGTGAATGTTCACGTGGTCAGGCTGGAGTGAATGTTCACATGGTCAGGCTGGAGTGAATGTTCACGTGGTCAGGCTGGAGTGAATCTTCAATAGGTCAGGCTGGAGTGAATGTTCACATGGTCAGGCTGGAGTGAATGTTCACATGGTCAGGCTGGAGTGAATGTTCACGTGGTCAGGCTGGAGTGAATGTTCACGTGGTCAGGCTGGAGTGAATGTTCACATGGTCAGGCTGGAGTGAATGTTCACATGGTCAGGCTGGAGTGAATGTTCACGTGGTCAGGCTGGAGTGAATGTTCACGTGGTCAGGCTGGAGTGAATGTTCACATGGTCAGGCTAGCGTGAATGTTCACATGGTCAGGCTGGAGTGAATGTTCACGTGGCCAGGCTGGAGTGAATGTTCACGTGGTCAGGCTGGAGTGAATCTTCAATAGGTCAGGCTGGAGTGAATGTTCACGTGGTCAGGCTGGAGTGAATGTTCACATGGTCAGGCTGGAGTGAATGTTCACATGGTCAGGCTGGAGTGAATGTTCACGTGGTCAGGCTGGAGTGAATGTTCACGTGGTCAGGCTGGAGTGAATGTTCACGTGGGGAGGCTGGCGTGAATGTTCACGTGGGGAGGCTGGAGTGAATGTTCACGTGGTCAGGCTGGAGTGAATGTTCACGTGGTCAGGCTGGAGTGAATGTTCACATGGTCAGGCTGGAGTGAATGTTCACGTGGTCAGGCTGGAGTGAATGTTCACATGGTCAGGCTGGAGTGAATGTTCACGTGGTCAGGCTGGAGTGAATGTTCACGTGGTCAGGCTGGAGTGAATGATCACGTGGGGAGGCTGGAGTGAATGTTCACGTGGTCAGGCTGGAGTGAATGTTCACATGGTCAGGCTGGAGTGAATGTTCACGTGGTCAGGCTGGAGTGAATGTTCACGTGGTCAGGCTGGAGTGAATGTTCACATGATCAGGCTGGAGTGAATGTTCACATGATCAGGCTGGAGTGAATGTTCATGCGGTCAGGCTGGAGTGAATGTTCACATGATCAGGCTGGAGTGAATGTTCATGAGGCCAGGCTGGAGTGAATGTTCATGTGGTGTGAATGTTCACGTGGTCAGGCTGGAGTGAATGTTCATGTGGTGTGAATGTTCACGTGGGGAGGCTGGAGTGAATGTTCACGTGGTCAGGCTGGAGTGAATGTTCACATGGTCAGGCTGATAATGTGGTGTTGTCGTTCCAGTGCCCTGACCAAGTTCATCCTGTCCCTGTACAAAGTGTATAAAGACCTGCACTTCACCTACATGGAGATCAACCCTCTGGGTAGGTAGCACTGATATTGCTGCTGTCATTTACCTTATGTCATCACTAGAGAAATGGTAACTTGTTTGGAAGGAAATATGTTTTATTTCCTACATAGGGTTAGAAATGACTGAGTACATAAAAATCGTTTGTGCACTTGCGCAAAGACTATTTTACACACACTAGTGTTTTGTTGACATCAGCTGAATCCTATTATTATGTTAGGTTGGAAAGACGTCACACTACAAACAACATCATAGCTGAAGGTTGTTGACGTCATTTGACAATTGTGGTTTACTAAGATGGCGGTCGTGATGAGTGCATTTTTCTAAAGGGGAGTTCAAAAGGATTAAGAATTAAGGGTCATCAAGGAATCATTACATTTGCATGTGTATCAAACTGATTTTACAGAATTTGTGTTAGAAATCATATATTAGTACTATTACTGTCACTCTTCGGGAAATGGAAGTATGTGTATTTTGACACTCATGCTTGTATAATAATCTGTATATGCCCTCTGTGGGGATGCCGAAATATAAAAGATATACTAGAAAGCCTATTTTCAATCATACAATCAAACACAGTAGTTGAAATGGGTTTTTTAAGTAAATAGATTTCTTTCATGACTTGGTTTTGTTGTTGAAATATCCTACTAGGAGGGGTGGGGTTTGAGGGAAATAGGATTAAAATAAAAAGATCATACAGATTATTTCTTGTTCTGCAAAAACATATCTAAATGTTTTCACATGTGGACAATGTTTAAGTAAACCAGTCTTTTCCGCCTTGCGTATTATATGCATGTTTTGTTGGGAAGGGTATCAAGACCTAAGTTTTCATTCTGATTTTGAAATTTGGCAGGCCAACTCCTATAATTCTTTCCTTGGTGATTTTATAATTTTTGATGTCTAAATGTCACATGCTATTTGTCGTGCCTGACCTTGCTCTGTTTTCTGTCGTCCAGTCATGACCGAAGGCAAGATCTACATCCTCGACCTGGCGGCCAAGATTGACCAGTGTGCCGAGTTCCTGTGTAAATCCAAGTGGGGGGAGTTGGAGTTCCCCCCTCCATTCGGCCGCGACGCTCTTCCGGAGGTAACACTTCCTTCAGGGAGGCCCTGCAGATAGTGTTCAAGCCCCTTGGCTTCTCTTAGACTTGTACAGTTTGGACACGAACTCTTTCCCTAACATTCCTACGATTCACTTGTTTTATAATTTGGTTCCTATAATTATGCTAATAAAGATGAAGTGTATTTCCTATAGTGAGTGAGTGAGTTGGGTTTAACGCCGCTGTTAACAGTATTCCAGTTATATCGCGGCGTGTCAGCTTAATGTCGGAGGAAAGCCCGAAGTGATGCAGGTCTCGACGTTTACCACTTCGGTGAAACCCACGAGCATGGGTATGGTGCTGACAAACCTAGAAACATAATCGGGGCGACCCGGGATTCAAACCAACAATCATAGGTTTCTGGTGAACAGTGAATCGTGGCGCCCTAGAAGACTGGGCCACAAGTGCCCCCGTATTTCCTATATAAAACCTAGTTGTAATCTTTTTAACCCTAACCATTTGATCAAAATAAACATAGCCATGACAGTCATCATCTGTATAAACTATGGTACGGCTACAACACTAAGCTAACACCACTATGGTATAATCTCTATTCAGTTAAGAACTGTTGACTATATTTTGTAATCTACTAAGATGAGCAGAAAAAAAGTATTTTCGAACATGTTTTAAAGTAGCAGTCAGATCATGATAATTGCAGTGATAACACTGGTATCTTGTGACATGGTGTTGTGGCGTGTCGACAGGAAGCCTACATCGCGGACCTGGATGCAAAGAGCGGGGCGTCTCTGAAGCTCACTGTCCTCAACAGGAAGGGGCGGATCTGGACCATGGTGGCTGGGGGCGGAGCCTCCGTCATATATGCGTATGTATACAGACACAATACCTCCCTCTGTTGTATAAACATATGTATACAGACACAATACCTCCCTCTGTTGTATGAACATATGTATACAGACACAATACCTCCCTCTGTTGTATAAACATATGTATACAGACACAATACCTCCCTCTGTTGTATAAACATATGTATACAGACACAATACCTCCCTCTGTTGTATGAACATATGTATACAGACAATATACCGCCCTCTGTTGTATGAACATATCTATACAGATACAATACCTCCCTCTGTTGTATAAACATATGTATACAGACACAATACCTCCCTCTGTTGTATAAACATATGTATACAGACACAATACCTCCCTCTGTTGTATGAACATATGTATACAGACAATATACCGCCCTCTGTTGTATGAACATATGTATACAGATACAATACCTCCCTCTGTTGTATAAACATATGTATACAGACACAATACCTCCCTCTGTTGTATAAACATGTATACAGACACAATACCTCCCTCTGTTGTATAAACATATGTATACAGGCACAAGACATCCCTCTGTTTTATAAACATGTATACAGACACAATACCTCCCTCTGTTGTATAAACATATGTATACAGACACAATACCTCCCTCTGTTGTATAAACATGTATACAGACACAATACCTCCCTCTGTTGTATAAACATATGTTTACAGGCACAAGACATCCCTCTGTTGTATAAACATGTATACAGACACAATACCTCCCTCTGTTGTATAAACATATGTATACAGACACAATACCTCCCTCTGTTGTATGAACATATGTATACAGACAATATACCGCCCTCTGTTGTATGAACATATGTATACAGATACAATACCTCCCTCTGTTGTATAAACATATGTATACAGACACAATACCTCCCTCTGTTGTATAAACATGTATACAGACACAATACCTCCCTCTGTTGTATAAACATATGTATACAGGCACAAGACATCCCTCTGTTTTATAAACATGTATACAGACACAAGACATCCCTCTGTTGTATAAACATGTATACAGACACAAGACATCCCTCTGTTGTATAAACATGTGTATACAGACACAAGACACCCCTCTGTTGTATAAACATATGTATACAGACACAAGACATCCCTCTGTTGTATAAACATGTGTATACAGACACAAGACATCCCTCTGTTTTATAAACATGTGTATACAGGCACAAGACATCCCTCTGTTGTATAAACATATGTATACAGGCACAAGACATCCCTCTGTTGTATAAACATGTGTATACAGACACAAGACATCCCTCTGTTTTATAAACATGTATACAGACACAATACATCCCTCTGTTGTATTAACATATGTATACAGACACAAGACATCCCTCTGTTGTATAAACATATGTATACAGACACAAGACATCCCTCTGTTGTATAAACATGTATACAGACACAATACCTCCCTCTGTTGTATGAACATATGTATACAGACACAAGACATCCCTCTGTTGTATAAACATATGTATACAGACACAAGACATCCCTCTGTTGTATAAACATGTATACAGACACAAGACATCCCTCTGTTGTATAAACATATGTATACAGACCCTATACCTCCCTCTGTCGTATAAACATGTATACAGACACAATACATCCCTCCGTTGTATAAACATGTATACAGACACAAGACACCTATCTGTTGTATAAACATATGTATACAGGCACAAGACATCCCTCTGTTGTATAAACATATGTATACAGACACAAGACATCCCTCTGTTGTATAAACATATGTGTACAGACACAATACCTCCCTCTGTTGTATGAACATATGTATACAGACACAATACCTCCCTCTGTTGTATAAACATATGTATACAGACACAAGACATCCCTCTGTTGTATAAACATATGTATACAGACACAAGACATCCCTCTGTTGTATAAACATATGTATACAGACACAAGACATCCCTCTGTTGTATAAACATGTATACAGACACAATACCTCCCTCTGTCGTATAAACATGTATACAGACACAAGACATCCCTCCGTTGTATAAACATGTATACAGACACAAGACACCTATCTGTTGTATAAACATATGTATACAGGCACAAGACATCCCTCTGTTGTATAAACATATGTATACAGACAATATACCGCCCTCTGTTGTATGAACATATGTATACAGATACAATACCTCCCTCTGTTGTATAAACATATGTATACAGACACAATACCTCCCTCTGTTGTATAAACATGTATACAGACACAATACCTCCCTCTGTTGTATAAACATATGTATACAGGCACAAGACATCCCTCTGTTTTATAAACATGTATACAGACACAATACCTCCCTCTGTTGTATAAACATATGTATACAGACACAATACCTCCCTCTGTTGTATAAACATGTATACAGACACAATACCTCCCTCTGTTGTATAAACATATGTATACAGGCACAAGACATCCCTCTGTTGTATAAACATGTATACAGACACAATACCTCCCTCTGTTGTATAAACATATGTATACAGACACAATACCTCCCTCTGTTGTATGAACATATGTATACAGACAATATACCGCCCTCTGTTGTATGAACATATGTATACAGATAAAATACCTCCCTCTGTTGTATAAACATATGTATACAGACACAATACCTCCCTCTGTTGTATAAACATGTATACAGACACAATACCTCCCTCTGTTGTATAAACATATGTATACAGGCACAAGACATCCCTCTGTTTTATAAACATGTGTATACAGACACAAGACATCCCTCTGTTGTATAAACATGTATACAGACACAAGACATCCCTCTGTTGTATAAACATGTGTATACAGACACAAGACACCCCTCTGTTGTATAAACATATGTATACAGACACAAGACATCCCTCTGTTGTATAAACATGTGTATACAGACACAAGACATCCCTCTGTTTTATAAACATGTGTATACAGGCACAAGACATCCCTCTGTTGTATAAACATATGTATACAGGCACAAGACATCCCTCTGTTGTATAAACATGTGTATACAGACACAAGACATCCCTCTGTTTTATAAACATGTATACAGACACAATACATCCCTCTGTTGTATAAACATATGTATACAGACACAAGACATCCCTCTGTTGTATAAACATATGTATACAGACACAAGACATCCCTCTGTTGTATAAACATGTATACAGACACAATACCTCCCTCTGTTGTATGAACATATGTATACAGACACAAGACATCCCTCTGTTGTATAAACATATGTATACAGACACAAGACATCCCTCTGTTGTATAAACATGTATACAGACACAAGACATCCCTCTGTTGTATAAACATATGTATACAGACCCTATACCTCCCTCTGTCGTATAAACATGTATACAGACACAAGACATCCCTCCGTTGTATAAACATGTATACAGACACAAGACACCTATCTGTTGTATAAACATATGTATACAGGCACAAAACATCCCTCTGTTGTATAAACATATGTATACAGACACAAGACATCCCTCTATTGTATAAACATATGTGTACAGACACAATACCTCCCTCTGTTGTATGAACATATGTATACAGACACAATACCTCCCTCTGTTGTATAAACATATGTATACAGACACAAGACATCCCTCTGTTGTATAAACATATGTATACAGACACAAGACATCCCTCTGTTGTATAAACATATGTATACAGACACAAGACATCCCTCTGTTGTATAAACATGTATACAGACACAATACCTCCCTCTGTTGTATAAACATATGTATACAGACACAAGACATCCCTCTGTTGTATAAACATATGTATACAGGCACAAGACATCCCTCTGTTTTATAAACATGTATACAGACACAATACCTCCCTCTGTTGTATAAACATATGTATACAGACACAATACCTCCCTCTGTTGTATAAACATGTATACAGACACAATACCTCCCTCTGTTGTATAAACATATGTTTACAGGCACAAGACATCCCTCTGTTGTATAAACATGTATACAGACACAATACCTCCCTCTGTTGTATAAACATATGTATACAGACACAATACCTCCCTCTGTTGTATGAACATATGTATACAGACAATATACCGCCCTCTGTTGTATGAACATATGTATACAGATACAATACCTCCCTCTGTTGTATAAACATATGTATACAGACACAATACCTCCCTCTGTTGTATAAACATGTATACAGACACAATACCTCCCTCTGTTGTATAAACATATGTATACAGGCACAAGACATCCCTCTGTTTTATAAACATGTATACAGACACAAGACATCCCTCTGTTGTATAAACATGTATACAGACACAAGACATCCCTCTGTTGTATAAACATGTGTATACAGACACAAGACACCCCTCTGTTGTATAAACATATGTATACAGACACAAGACATCCCTCTGTTGTATAAACATGTGTATACAGACACAAGACATCCCTCTGTTTTATAAACATGTGTATACAGGCACAAGACATCCCTCTGTTGTATAAACATATGTATACAGGCACAAGACATCCCTCTGTTGTATAAACATGTGTATACAGACACAAGACATCCCTCTGTTTTATAAACATGTATACAGACACAATACATCCCTCTGTTGTATTAACATATGTATACAGACACAAGACATCCCTCTGTTGTATAAACATATGTATACAGACACAAGACATCCCTCTGTTGTATAAACATGTATACAGACACAATACCTCCCTCTGTTGTATGAACATATGTATACAGACACAAGACATCCCTCTGTTGTATAAACATATGTATACAGACACAAGACATCCCTCTGTTGTATAAACATGTATACAGACACAAGACATCCCTCTGTTGTATAAACATATGTATACAGACCCTATACCTCCCTCTGTCGTATAAACATGTATACAGACACAATACATCCCTCCGTTGTATAAACATGTATACAGACACAAGACACCTATCTGTTGTAT